GACGAAGACTTTGGAGGCGAAGAATATCGAATGATGCAGTTTATGCAGGAGCAAGCCAGGCTGGAAGCCGAAGCAGAAGCTGTAGAAGATGGCGACCATTCTGGTGATGACATTCCCGACCCTGTTCGATCAAGCGACGCCATGGTGGCCAACTGCCCAATATGCGACGGGAGCCTTGCAGGAATTACGCCCGCAGAAGCAACACGACACGTCAACGCCTGCCTCGACGGCAATCCGATACCCCTCCCTCAGCCTAAGCCAGCCAAGAAAGATCAAGTAGCGAAACCCCCCATTCTCGACCCGCCAGAAGTCAATAAGCGCTTTGCCCGCGCAGCCGTTCCGCGAGCTGGCCAAGCCAATCCCTTCAACATCGGGGAGACTGACAACAAGCCCAAATCCGCATTCACAAAGTTGATGTCGGGCCATGCGGAAGATGCGGCTTGGGCAGGAGCTGCTGCGGCAGAGCACTCTGCGCGCGGCAAACCCGCATATCAACGCACCTGTCCATTCTACAAAATCATGCCCGGATTCTACATTTGTGTGGATGCATTCAGGTATGGTGCGGTCAAGGGGTGCAACGCCTACTTCCTGAGCCACTTCCATAGCGACCACTATATTGGGTTGACTGCCAACTGGACCCATGGACCTATCTACTGCAGCAAAGTTACCGGGGACCTCGTGAAGATGCAGTTGCGAGTCGCCGCACATTGGGTTCGGCCACTTGAATTCAACGAGACGGTTGATGTTCCTGGCACCGAGGGTGTTACTGTCACTATGATTTCCGCAAATCACTGCCCTGGGAGCTCCCTATTTCTGTTCGAAAAGACAATGGGAAAGGGACCGTCCACGAGAAAGCAGAGGATTTTGCATTGTGGCGACTTCAGAGCTTGTCCAGCTCAAGTTGCGCATCCCTTGCTCAAGCCAGAAGTGCAAGACTCGATCTCAGGAAAGACTAGGCAACAAAAAATTGACGTATGCTATCTCGATACGACCTATCTCAACCCGCGCTACTCTTTCCCTCCCCAGAACGACGTTATTCGGGCATGCGCGGAACTCTGCACATCGCTAGCTCCTGAGCAGAATTCTGAGGACAATGCCTGGGACAGGGTCAATAGGGAGGCAGGTACTGACACAGTCAGCAAGTTTTTCAGAAAAACCAAGATAGTTGGCGAAACGACCAAAGCCAAGCCGAAGAATGCCCCCAAGGAACGCCTGCTCGTCATCTGCGGCACGTACTCGATCGGCAAGGAGCGCATCTGCAAAGCCATTGCCCAAGCCCTGGGCAGCAAGATATTTGCTTCCAAGTCCAAAATACGCATCTGTTCCAAGCTTGGAGACCCAGAGCTTACGGCACTAATGACAGACAACCCCCTGGAAGCGCAGGTCCATATGCAAATGCTCATGGAGATCCGAGCCGAGACGTTGCAGGACTATCTCAACTCCTACAAGCCACACTTCAGTCGAATCGTTGGGTTCCGCCCTTCTGGATGGAACTATCGACCACAGGGTGCAGGCAAATCGGTCTCGGCCAACACGCAGCCCGGCACCGTTCCAACTACCCAGATTTTACAGGGCAAGGCATGGAGGTCACGTTTTGGGGCCAAGGACTTTGTTGCTCAGCGTGGCAGCACGAAGGAAGCTATGTGCTTTGGGGTGCCATATAGTGAGCACAGCAGTTTCAGAGAGCTGGCAATGTTTCTGATGGCACTGCGGATTGAGAAGGTAGTGCCAACGGTCAATGTCGGGAGCGAAACGTCCAGGAAGAGGATGAAGGGCTGGACTGACAAGTGGTTGGCTGAGCGAAGGAAAGGTGGTTTGATTCGTCCCCTAGAAGATGATGAGAGTGAATCTAAGGACATTGTGCTTTGGGACGGAAAGGATAGTCGCGGAGGCGGCGTTTGGTGGTGATCAGTCGCTCGGTGCATAGATAGAATTTAATGAATAATGAGCACGAGGCATCTGCCCCCAAATCAAATGCTTGAAGTGTGGTTCATTTCATGGGTTCTCGGCTGGATATCAAGCTGTTCTACCCTTCCTGCGTCCATATCATCTAGTCGGATTACCCCAGACGCCATGACCCATGTTTAAATACCAAGAGGATTTGAAGCCGTAGCCTTTAGTCCTATCTTTCGTTGGCCGGCTTTTGTAGTGCCCCGACCACGTAATCGTAATTCCTTGGGTTCCATCAAGACTACATCTCCAGCGGTGCTGACTTTTTATTTCGCCTTTGCTGACTGCGCAGCAGCCTCTGTAGTACGTATTAGCACCACCCTTGCGGCCGCTGCAGGTGAACCGGGGAAAATCATGCGGACTCACCTCTCCGCGTCGCGTCCTCCAGAAGAGGGACATCTACGTGGTTGGCGGGCAGATGTACATAGCGCACGACGGAGCCACGAATGAAAACGTTCTTGACGGAGCTCTGCGAGTCTATGTTAGCAGGGGGGGTCTGTCATCTGCCAGCATGACTGAGAGTGAAAAGACAAGGCCGAGGCTGAGAAGTGGCCACAGAGGGTGACTGACCAGGTGCGGGTACTTCAGCTCCTCAACGACCGAAATGTCATCTAGCTTAATGTTGAGATACTGGTCAACACTCTTGAGCGTGCCGCGGATCTGGATGTCGTTCTTGAGCTCGACGGTGACCTCATGGTCTATGAGCGTCTTGAAGAAACTGGCGGGGTCAGCGCGTTAGCTGGCGGCATATTGACGGTTGTGGGGGCGTAAATGGTGACAGAAACTTTTCTTGTTTGGATGAGTTGCAGGGGCATACCTGAAGAAAAGCATGGTGGGCGGTTGGGTTGAGTGCTGGTTTCGATAAGCCGCTCGGTGAGGTCGTGATGGTCGAGCTTGAATGCAAAGGTGTGGGGGCCTGTACTGTGTATGATACAGTGCATACAGTGTGATTCGGGCGTTGATTTTGGTGGTCATACATGCTGAAGTGGCTTATTGGTGTGGCTGGTGGAGTACACATGGAACTTGCGACTGGGTGGCGATTGGCCACTTTCACTGAGTCGGCGAGTCCGTCTAGGGGAAAGAGCAGCCTCAACCTGAGAATGACAACCACATTCATTCGTTCATGAACCTCGTCCGACCCCCTCTCAATTCTCGTTTGATACCCGTCTGGTCTCTGTTCGTCGCTGCGTATGGTTTTTTTTTTTTATTAATCGCGACAACGCATCTCGACCGAGTCCTAAGACTGGGCATCCAATATGTCCCTGGCCCGGGTCAGTGAATGGCGAAAGTTGCCCCTGAGTCTGGCAGAGCTTTGCATCGACACAACCCTACGATGCGGCCAGTCTTTTCGATGGCGCAAAATCAATGATGAATGGTGAGCATAAGTTTTTGTCAAAAGAAAAGTCTGCAAGCTAAAACCTTACACAGGTGCTGCACGCTATACGGGCGCCTCGTCTCACTGAAGCAAGACCCGACTCACCTGCATTACAAAGTGACCTGGCCAAAGAAGCCCGTTTACCCGCTGACGCCGCCCGTTGCTGACGATGAAGCGGATGGCGATGATACGGAGGAGTTGTTGCGACATTACTTGAGTCTGAAATTGGATCTTGAGTCCCTTTACGAGCAGTGGTCTGAAGCAGACCCCAACTTTCGCAAGAGAGCACCGGAGTTTGGAGGGGTTCGCATGTTAAGCCAGGATGCGTGGGAAGCGTTGATCTGCTTCATTTGCAGCAGTAATAATAACATCTCGAGGATATCGCAGATGGTATGTTCAATGATTACACCAGCGAATCTCCACTAACAGCGCTGTAGGTTCACAAGCTTTGCACACACTATGGCCCGCTTATTGGTCACGTTGGAGATGAAGCCTTTCATGATTTCCCCACGCCAGAAGCTCTCACTGGAACTTCAGTAGAAGCTCACCTGAGGGAGCTAGGTTTCGGTTACAGGGCAAAGTACATTGCGCAGACGGCATCAATCGTGGTGAACGATCGACCCAAGGGCTGGTTCGAAAGCCTGACCAACCCGGAGAACCCGTGTTACCGGAAGACGCCAGAAGGCGCCAAGTTGGCACAGTGCACATACAAAGAAGCTCACGAGCAGCTTCTCCAGCTGTCCGGCGTTGGGCCGAAGGTAGCAGACTGCGTGTGCTTAATGGGTCTGGGCTGGGGTGAGGCCGTGCCGGTCGACACTCATGTGTGGCAAATCGCTCAGCGGGACTACAAATTCGGGAAGGTCAAGACCAAGACATTCAACAAGACCATGTATGATGCAGTTGGAGATCACTTCAGAGGCCTCTGGGGCAAGTACGCTGGATGGGCTCATTCTGTGTTGTTCACGGCCGATTTGAAGACATTCTCTGAGCGCACCGTTAAGAAAGAGGAGGGCGAGGCAATGACAGTGAAGAAGGAGGTTAAGGTTGAAGAAGATGCGCCGCTATTAGGCAGAAAACGGAAAGTTGTGAAGACGACTATTAAGGTCGAGGTTGAGGAAACGCCAGAGGCAGCGCCGTTAGAGTCATCGCCAAAGCGGAGGAAGACGAGATCTCAAACAGTCAAGAGAACCTCGAAGTCGGCGTGATGAGTCTCACGATTCTCAGTCTCATTAAATTCAAATTCCCATTCTAACATTTCGCATATCCTTATATCTAAAGTGGAAATAAGTCAAGAAAAAAAATAATGTTCCCCAACAACGTCACTTGCAGTATTTTTATTGAGCAGTATCAATTCCCGAAACAAGACACATCTAGTAACGGAATAAAAGTCAATAAAAGAAATAAAAAGTGCCGTCGTTCTTAAACATCTTCGTGGTCGCGATTTTCTAGGTTGGAGGTCCCAACCTTCTAGATTCGGGTAAAGCTCGGGTGCAGGTGGCGTCGGAAATTTTGCCTGGTCGTGTACGTAACGCGAAATTGCAAACTCTCTTGCGACTCTTTGCTCCCCTTCCAGCCTCATCAGTAACAAACAACCATCACTGATGAGCTCCGTCATCGCCGTTCGACCACTTGCACCTTCACAAGTGACATGAAGCAGCAATACCCATAATTCAAAATGTCTGACGCAGACTTCGAGACCGTCCGGAAGCTCCAGGCGGAGCGCAACGCTGCTGCCGCCGCGAAAAAGGGTTCGCGCAACTCGGACAACCAACGAGCCGACACCAAGCAGAGCCTCACCGAGAGCTTCGACACCGACCTGTACGATCGCAGCAATGGCGTCGACAAGTTTGCGGGATACAACATGTCCATCCCTACAGGTGATGATGATGACGACGAGATGGAGGGCGCTGACAACACGCGACGCCTCGTCGGCCAGTACACGGCTTCACGTGCCATGATCGACGAGTTCGCCCGTGGTGATGGCGTCGAGGAGGATGACCCCTTGGCAGGCCGGGGCGAGCGTAGCAACCGAATCACCGATCGCGAGACCGACTACCAGAAGCGACGATTCGATCGTGTCCTCACCCCGACTCGAGCCGATGCCTTCGCAGCTAACCGCCAAGCCGGCGCCGCCGAGGAGGGCACTAGCTACCGCGAAGTCATGGCGCTGCGCGAGCTGGAGAGGGAGGAAGAACGCGTCCGCCGCGCCATCCAGGCCAAGGCTGAGGGTCGAGAAGAGGAGGACGGCAACGTGGCCCCGGCGACCTTGAAGGACGGCGATAAGGAAAATGCTGAAGCTGGGTCGACCGAGGCTGTTACGGCAGGCCGCAAGCGAAAGAAGAGATGGGACGTCTCGTCTACGCTAGCTGATGATGAAGCTGCTCCCCAGCCTTCGGATCCTGTCAAGTCCAAGCGATCGCGATGGGATCAAACACCAGCTCCCGCCGGCATGGAGATAGACGCGCCCAAGAAGCGATCTCGTTGGGATCAGGCACCATCCGCCACGCCCATGGGAAACCAGGGACTTGCGACACCGATGCACCCCTCACAGTCAGGCAGTGCTGCCCTGCCTACGACCTTCGGAACCGACATCTCTGGCCGCAACATGCCCTTGAGCGACGAGGAACTGGATATGCTCCTCCCCGGCGAGGATCAGGGATACAAGGTTCTCGAGCCGCCTCCGGGATACGCTCCGATACGCGCGCCCGCACACAAGCTTATGGCCACGCCGGCACCGCAGACTGGGTTCATGATGCAGGACCCCGATTCCGTCAGGCTCAGCGGCAAGCCCATGCCGGCCGAGATTCCAGGCATCGGCGATTTGCAATTCTTCAAGGCTGAGGATATGGCGTATTTCGGTAAGCTGACCGACGGTTCTGATGAGAACAGCCTCAGCGTGGAAGAGATGAAGGAGAGAAAGATCATGAGACTGCTCTTGAAAGTCAAGAACGGTACTCCACCAATGCGTAAAACTGCCCTGAGACAGCTCACCGACAATGCCAGGCAGTTTGGAGCCGGTCCGCTCTTCGATCAGATCCTCCCCTTGCTCATGGAGAAGACGCTGGAGGACCAGGAGCGCCATTTGCTCGTCAAGGTCATCGACCGTATTCTCTACAAGCTAGATGATCTCGTGCGACCGTTCGTCCACAAGATTCTCGTTGTTATTGAGCCGCTGCTCATCGACCAAGACTACTACGCTAGAGTTGAAGGTCGCGAGATTATCTCCAACCTCAGTAAAGCCGCTGGTCTGGCCACGATGATCAGCACAATGAGACCAGATATTGATCACGTGGATGAATACGTGCGAAACACCACCGCCAGAGCTTTTGCCGTGGTCGCGTCAGCACTTGGTATTCCTGCGCTTCTGCCGTTCCTCCGAGCCGTTTGTCGAAGCAAGAAGTCATGGCAAGCCCGTCATACCGGTGTCAAGATCGTTCAGCAAATCCCCATCCTCATGGGTTGTGCTGTTCTGCCACACCTCAAGGGATTGGTGGACTGCATTGGTCCCAACCTTAACGACGAACAGACCAAGGTCAGAACCGTCACCAGTTTGGCAATCGCAGCCCTCGCTGAGGCTTCTAGCCCCTACGGTATCGAGAGTTTCGACGATATTCTCAACCCGTTGTGGACTGGAGCGCGCAAGCAGCGTGGCAAGGGTTTGGCCGGTTTCCTCAAGGCTGTGGGTTACATCATCCCGCTTATGGACGAAGAATACGCCAACTACTATACCAGTCAAATCATGGAGATTTTGCTCCGCGAGTTCTCGTCCCCAGATGAGGAGATGAAGAAGGTTGTCCTGAAGGTGGTCTCCCAGTGCGCTGGCACTGACGGTGTCACAGCAGGTTACCTCAAGGAGCACGTGTTGGACGAGTTTTTCAAGAGTTTTTGGGTGAGGCGAATGGCTTTAGACAAGCGCAACTACAAGCAAGTCGTCGAGACGACTGTCGACATCGGTCAGAAGGTTGGAGCCAGCGAGATTCTGGAGAGAATCGTGGTGAATCTTCAAGACGAGAGCGAAGCCTACAGGAAGATGACGATCGAGACGGTCGAGAAGATTGTTGCCAGTTTGGGTGCGGCAGATATTGGCGAGCGTCTCGAGGAGCGCTTGATTGACGGTATCCTGACCACGTTCAAGTCACAGACTGTGGAGGATATCGTTGTGCTGAACGGCTTTGGCTCCGTTGTCAACGCCCTCGGTACGCGCTGCAAGCCATACCTGCAGCAAATTTGCAGCGACATCCTGTGGCGACTCAACGACAAGTCTCCAACGGTGCGACAACAAGCAGCTGACCTAATTTCACGCATCGCTATGGTCATGAAGCAGTGCGGAGAGGACGCTATGATGGGCCGAATCGGTGTCGTGCTTTACGAATACCTGGGTGAAGAGTACCCTGAAGTTCTCGGATCTATCTTGGGTGCTCTGCGATCCATTGTCACGGTGGTCGGTATCTCCCAGATGCAGCCTCCTATCAAGGACCTGCTGCCTAGACTTACCCCTATCCTGCGCAACCGACACGAAAAGGTCCAGGAAAACACCATTGACTTGGTTGGTCGTATCGCTGATCGCGGGCCCGAGAGCGTCAACGCTCGCGAGTGGATGCGTATTTGCTTCGAGCTGCTCGACATGCTCAAAGCACACAAGAAGGGTATCCGTCGTGCGGCCAACAACACGTTCGGTTTCATCGCCAAGGCCATTGGTCCTCAGGATGTTCTTGCTACCCTGCTCAACAACCTTCGCGTCCAGGAGCGTCAGTCGCGTGTCAACACCGCCGTTGCTATTGGCATCGTCGCCGAGACTTGCGCGCCTTTCACGGTTCTTCCCGCGCTGATGAACGAGTACCGAGTACCCGAGCTCAACGTCCAAAACGGTGTCCTCAAATCGCTGTCCTTCCTCTTCGAATACATTGGCGAGATGGCCAAGGACTACGTCTATGCCGTTACACCTCTTCTCGAAGACGCGCTCATCGACCGTGACCAAGTCCATCGTCAGACCGCCGCCTCGGTCGTCAAGCACATTGCGCTTGGCGTTGTCGGCCTCGGCTGTGAGGACGCCATGGTCCATCTCCTCAACCTGCTCTACCCCAACCTCTTCGAGACCAGTCCACATGTCATTGACCGTATCATCGAGGCTATTGAGGCCATCCGCATGGCTGTCGGCCCGGGCGTCGTCCTCAACTACGTATGGGCAGGTCTCTTCCACCCAGCTCGCAAGGTTCGCCAACCATACTGGCGACTCTACAACGACGCCTACGTCCAAGGCGCCGATGCGATGGTGCCATACTACCCCAATCTCGACGAGGAGAAGGTCGACAGGCCGGAGCTGGCCATCATGTTGTAAGACAAGTGGACATCTCTAGACGAAGTGTGGAGGCACACGGAGGCAAGCGTGGGGTGACACGGGAGGTTGATTCATGGTTGGTTTCAAGGTTTTCTACGTACGATATCCAGACACAGATCGCGGCAGGGCGGGGGGGTGTTCCAATTTAGAGGGGGAGAGCCCCGAGATGAGAGGATGAAAGGGAGGGGCAGCAGCGAGCAAGTAAGCACAGCTTGAAGCAAGCCGAGAATGGGAACTAAAAAGGGAACAACACTGAATAACGCGTGTTGTGTTGTTGTGTTACGGGCGCAAGGTAGCCCATTGTACTGAGTCATAATACTCGATCGTGCAGACTTCTTGTAGTTGGTGGAGCATTACCAGTGGCGTTGGGCAGAATAATCACGAAAGCTTTTTTTAAACAATTCATTTATACTATCCTATTCAGCGAGTATGCCTTCTCTCAAGTCACGATGTATCTTGGACATGTTGCTCTTGTACATGTGTTGTGTTGTGTGTATTTTGTACTATATGCCTCAAGTTGATAATGACTCAAGCGATGCTATATGGATCGTATATTGACTATAAAAGCAATGTAAAGTGGACTGATGGCATGGAGACGGCACCGACAACGAATCGGACCCGGGGCAACGCGTCTAGGATCTCACGATGTCTGCGTTGCAACAGAGAAAAAAAGTTGCGCGAGCGAGAGCAAGTGAGTTTCCTTCGGTTCGCATCGCAGATGGAGCCAGCCAGAAAAGTCTCGAAGAGTTAGTTGCAAGCCAACGGAGAGCCGAGAGAGTGCAACACCCGCAGCTGGCCGAGAGTCCCATCCATCCAGCCAGCCTCCTGTCCCCATCGTTCATCCCCGTTCTCGGGTACCCATCCCCTCCTACCGGCGTCGACCCAGCAAAGTGCCAAAGCAACGCCCGCGTTTGAGGTCGCTTTCCCCGGGATCCATCATCGTCACGACGCGCTCCGTGTTTACTGACGCCGTATGCGGTGTTGCGGTGCCAATTGTGGAGAGAGAGAGAGCGCAAGGAAGCTACGGTTACGCTGTCTCCTAATTTTTTTTCTTTTTTCTGTTGTTGTTTTGCTGCCAGCGGTAGCCTTGCTTCCGGCCAGGCACAGCTCACGTGCTGCTGGGTTCTATCTACATGCGAATTCTTCACGTTATAAAAAGAACACAAAATCTCGCGTACGGGGAATGGAAGGATGGCTGGATGGGATCATGGATCCACGGAAGGGAGGTTTGTCTGCGTCTCCCTACGAGGATGAGAGGTACGGATAGGAGACAGGCCACTTTTTCTCTCTCTTTCCAACGCTGTATATCCTGGATGTTCCTCCAGCCATCGAAGGGAGGATATTTATAAAAAAGAAAAAAAAGAAAAACAAAAAAGAAAAAAAGAAAAAGAAAAAGAGGTTCAGGGTACTTTCTACTCTATTCATGCATTCTTCCTTTCCCACCGGCATAATGTTACCAAGGAAGACAAAGTTCCCCTTTCCTCGTTGGCGATGATCTGCAAAGTCCTTCTGTTCCATGTGTTGGCGTACCTATTCGTACTTCAGTCACTGTACATACACGTCGATAGGGTGTATGTGGTGGGTCGCGGAAGAAGAACAGTTTTTCCCCCCTCCCCATCGCTGGTGTGTTTGAGATGTCTTCGGAATGCAACTCTCCTTCTGGGTGGGCGTGGTTCAGGGGCTGGATTACCTAGGTACCAGCCAGCCCGGGATTTTTGCGTTGCAGTTGGATGAGGTTGCAGTTGCTTTACGGATACCTTCTTGGGTGCACCCGTGGGGAACATTTTGGCGAACATCCCAAGCTGACCACTGCTCCGTCCCTCCCCCTTCTCCGGACGGAGAAAAAGATGCGAGATTCAGGTGAGTCGACACGGGTAGATTGTCGAAGCCGTTCTGTAGTGTATTATATGGAGGAAAGAGAACGGGAAATCCTGTTTCAAGAGACAGAGCCTCAAAATGATGCTGGCTTTCGCCGACTTCATCACAAAACATTGATATTCTCTTTTCTCTATTGTCAAGTAAACTTTGAATTTCTTTGCGCATTGCCTGTTTCGGGGGCAAGGCGTCGGCATGGGAAAGTGACATTTCGGTTTTGTTGCCTCCAGCGCTAATAAACGACATGGAGGGGAGGGACGCCTCTGTTGGCCGTTTTCGTCAAGTGTTCTGCCATCCGGCGGGCGCATACCTCAGTGAGGTGAGCTGTTTGTGTTGGTGCTATGGCAGCCAGCGTTGGTGGCTACGGCACCGCAAGGTAAGGCACGAATACCTACACACCGCCAACTGACTTGACTGACTTCACTGGGCTGCTTGGCGGCCAACAAGCCCACCTCGGCTCCGTTTTCTTCTTCCTTCTTCTTCTTCTGACTCGCCTCATTGCCCTGCTTTGAGCCCAGCTGGTTTGCCGGGGATTTTGAGTCGCGAAAAGAATAACGGCCGCGAAGTCGTCGTCGGGCGTTTTCTGTTGGCGCAAAAGGGTCCCTGCGGGGGATCTGCAAGCCCGCATCGGCCGACGATAACAGAGTTGAGGCTAGCTGGTGATAGTTCTGATCTGTCTGAGGCGTTGCTTGAGGCGCTAATCGCCCTGTCTAACTACTTGCGCACGCCGTTTTCAAGTTTATAACCTCTCAAGTAGATGATCGACAGCATTCCCGGGGTGGTGCAGGTCATTGCAGGGCCCCGGAACTCCTTTTTCTCGCTGTCGCGCAGGCCCGTCCAAGTAGCCGTCAGAAAGCCAACCATCACCAACATAGTAAGCCCTGTCTCGGTGACCTCGGCCAAATTCACTGGCAGAACCAGGATTCTCCCCTGGTTTGACTGGCGAATCTTGGAGAAGATATCTAGACATCTGTTCTAGACAGCCACAGCGAAAGCCGGTGAGGTTTAAGTCTTCGAGACCTTCTTGCTTCATTTGCATTCCGGTTGCGTTCAGCAGCATGTAAGAAGGGAAGGGCCTGTTTAGGGTGCAAGGTACGCAGTCGACCGGACCACCGTGCCGTGTCTCATCTGAACAAAGAGGGAACGGGCGCTGTGCTCTGCCGCAGCCTTGCTGGGACGACGCGCCGTTTATGAGGGCGTGCGGCCATCAAGATCGATCCCATCACTGCAATACCCGCTGGCACGGGTGTCCCTTCATGCTGTGTACTGACTCCTGACACAACCATGGTAAATCTCAACCCGCGGATGCGGTTTCGCACCCGGAAAGTCAGCCTTGCCTGCGCGTGTCGTCCCATGTGTAAGGTCAACGATCGTCACAGATCGTCGCCGTCATGTTGCTGTCGTCCCCTCTTCCCACGAGTTGTCGACTTCTTCCACGCATGGTCGAGACGCTGATCCGGAAGCTTCCTCCAACGCTCCAGAAGATCCTTCGGCAAGACGAAGGTCAGGAGAAGGCTGCAAGGTGCACCCGCGGAATTTGGGCGGAAATACCAATTGTTTTTAGCAATACCCCTAGCTTGCGTCACTAAGAAACATTGTAGCGCGACGAGATCATCCTAGAGGCGGTGGACCAAAGGAAGCTGGCTGTGCTGAGGAGCCAGCTCAACCACCTAGCGGCCGGTCGGGCGCCGGGGCTCTCGGAAGCTTGAGGTAAGGTTCTCACCGGCCGTCGCGGGCTGGCGGCTCAGCCTATTGCGCGTCGTCAGGCGGCAAAGATGGCGCTGGGGTGCGACTCAGGTGCTCGTGTTTGTCACCGTTGAGGGAACTTTCGTCGGCATTGCCTCGAAGTATTGCGATTTCCCTGCCGAATGTGATGCGGTGCCGCAGCCGATGCGATCTGTTTTTAGAGCACCACAACAGAGCGAACGAAGCCGATTTGGTACAACAGATATCAGAGTCTTGCGCGTTGTCGTGTCGGGACAGCGTCGCCCGAATGGATCGGTATCGGCAAAGCCTCAGCCTCAAGGACGGTCCCGGAGGAAAGTGAGGATGGTGAGTGGCGCATAAGCCTCCGACGTTCGTTGTAGAGGGGCGGTCGGAAGACGACCGGAGGCAATAGGTTCCTGGGATTGTGAGCCTTGCATTCTGAATCAATCTGAGGCTGGTGCGGACAGAGGGAGAGGTTGTTGGGCAAAGTATTGCTACTGCAGTACCAGTACGAGGATGTGCCGTTCAATGCTGGGACGAAACGATTCCGGGGAAAGAAAAGCTAATCAATCCGGGGTGAACGCGGGGTTCATGGCACTTTAAGTAGGTATCCGTACTTTCATCAGGCGAAAGGGCCAAAAAAACATGGGAATATGAGTAGATTCGATGAAAGTGCAAGGGGATTTTAAGACGTTTCAGACGGAACAAGGCAGGCGGGCTACGTCATCGAGTGTTTCGAAACACATCCCACGATGCCCCTTCCTCCATCGGTTTCCCCCGTGTTTGGGCGGGTTTGGGGGTCTGAATTGCGGCAAGTGCAGCCAACCACCAGCCCTACCGACGGTGCGGACGTCTGCCTCAAGATGCCTTCCTTAACCTTACCTCAGCCTTTGTCAGTGGCACTTTCCCGCTGGGTTATTGAGTCGAGCTGAAGGGCATTCGCGCCTGCCTCACTTTCTGAGCCTTCGATTCTGACGTCGTCGCAAGGTGCCTTTCCCAAGGTAACCTTGTCAACCTACCGTGCCTACCGTGTCTACTACTGGGCACTAGGTGCGGCGGCACTGAAGACCACGGAAGGCATGACCCGATTCAAACAAGCCTTACCGAGACGGAATCTCGAGTCAACACCAACCAAATGAGCCGCAACTTCCAACTTGCAGACCACCGCTACAGCATCAATCCTATCCGATCAACACCACTCCCGCACGTTTCATCCCCCTTTTCTTATTCCCCCACGACCCCAGCGAGCTGGATTCCATCGCTTCGTCATCGAGCACAGAATTACCTGAATCGGGCATTGCGGAGGAGAAGATAGCACCGACAACAACACGGATGCAGCTTGTCAACATCACATCCTCCAACCCGAAGGCCCAAACCAATCACTGTCGCCCCTTCCTGTGCCATCATCGTGGCCGCAT